GGATTGCACATTTTGGGAAACGTTGACCAGGTCTGTGTAGGACAGGGCTGTGGTATTGCCTTCAGGTTTTGAGTATGTGAAATAGTGTTTTATCTGTAGATGTCCTTCATGTTGGAATATCAGACTTCCAGCACCTGGTTTTCTTCTTTGTTGCGTCCAGTGAGCAACATTAAGACCCTAATTAATTTTTTTTTTCCCTTTTAATGCTATCCTCTTAAAATACAGCCATCTTCTAAGGGGGTTCAGAACATTAAATTCTCACAGTTTAACAAACAGTTCTACATGTTTCACAACAAGAATTCATTAAAAACTTGTCTGTTCTGGAGGAAGGGGTGGGTTGAAGAACGGCTTTAAATACTGTTTTTCCTTTTTTCTATTGGAAAATGCTTGAAGAGAAGTTTTGGAATAGCCTGGATTATTTTGCCATCTTAAGTCTGCATTTGTTGCACAGACTTTTGCAAGTCGTGTGATGTGCTAATCTCTACCACCTGACACAACAAAAAGGCAGTAAAAAAGAAAATCAAGTGTTTTCCATGTGAACAAAGTAAATGCTTTTTGAATTTTGTGAATTGCTTTCAAGGTAACAATATCAAAACTAATGATGTCTTGAGAGCAGAAGCAGCATATTTCATTCAGTCTTTGTGTGCAATTGCTGAAGGTCTGCTTGGCTACTATTAGTTAATATTTTCTAAAAATCTCATTTGTTAAACCCTCAGGATATTTATAGCAAGTCTTTTCACATTAGAGGCCACCAGCAGTAGAGGAAAAACATCAAGGTTTTTAGCATATAGCATTTCTAGAATGTTCCCGAAGGAGGAAGCTTTTTTATTAATAAATCTCATTTGTTTATTGCTCAGTTTCCTAGTGTCTTAAAAATCACTAAGTGAAGAAACTTGAGCTTTTCTTACTCACACCATTTCTGTAGATGTTACAGTATTTACTATTTAGTATCCAGTCACTCTTTTCAGTTGGAATTCGTGGTTTGTTTTGAGCTACATGAGTTCTCTGAGCTGGTGCGTGCTGACAGTCTTTGTGATGAACAACACCAGGGCTGTGAGCTGATAAGACCTTCTCTGTGCTGCCTCACATTTGGTGGTTTGTGTCTGCAGCAACACGGGTCAACCTTTGATAGATAAAACACTAGGATTTTATTCTGTAATGAAAATCCCAGAGATCCAGCAGGACAAGGGGAAATGGTTTTAAGCTGAGGGAAGGGAGATATAGGTTGGATGTCAGGGGGAAATTCTTTACGGAGAGAGTGGTGAGGTACTGGAACAGGCTGCCCAGGGAGGTTGTGGATGCCCCGTCCCTGGAGGTGTTCAAAGCCAGATTGGATGGGGCCCTGGGCAGTCTGGTCTAGCATTAGGTGGAATGGTGGTGGCCCTGCATGTGGCAGGGGGGTTGGAGATTCATGATCCTTGAGGTCCCTTCCAACCCTGGCAATTCTGTGATTCTGTGATTCTGTGATCTTTGGCACAGAGGAAGAAAATATCAAAGATTTAATACGATGATGTACCCGCTCAAGAAATTGCTAGTGTGGGCTCAGTAACGATGTACCATGTGTGGTGAGCTGGCTGACAAGTCAGCTTGGAGGTGGGCAGAAACTGCCAGAACACCATGCTCAGCAAGAAAAAGGTAATGTAGGGCTCCTGGAGAGGGCCTGAAGCTGTGGAAGAAGACCGAAGCTGGAGTGCCTGAAGCCAAGTTGTGGGAATGCAGGAACTGGGTGTGTGCACCTTGCTTTCTTAGGGAGTTACTAGTTCTGCTACTTACAGCCTTGCTGACCAAAGAACTCCCAACTTTTGGCATATGATGCAGCTGATCATAAGCAGGAGCCATCTCTTTTGTCTTATTGATTGATCTAAATGTCCCAGGTTTTATTCTGGCAGCCTTTGTTCTCAGGCTTACTTTTCATAGTTAAGCATATGACCCTCACTATCAACACTGACTTTCATTGTGAAGCCCTGCAAATTCATTTGAAGGATGGGAGAACCAAACCCTAACAAAAAATGTGCTAAAGAACTGGCTGCTGTAATAATTCTATTGCATGAGAGCAGCATGACTCATTCAGTTTGATGTTGGTATTTCAGTATTCCGTTTATTTTTAAGTTGTGCTGTACAAATAGTGTTTTTTTGTGCCAGTTGTTGCTATGACTTCATAATATTTCTCTTAATACGCTTGCTCATACTTTCTCACAGCATAGTATTTGGCATAGGAAAACCTGAAATCCATCAGAATTTCCTGAGTGCTGATCATTTTCATGCTTTTATGGAAAAAAAGGATAGTTAGTGTATTATGTACTTTTGGTTTAGGAGGAATAAAACTTTGAGGGGGAGGAAATTGCCACAACCTGCTCCCTCATTTAAGAAAATGTTCCTTTGTTTCAGCTTTTCCTATTTTTCAGTGTAGCTTTTTCAGATAAAGCTTTCCAGTGCTAATATAGCCTAGGCCATTTTAATAAGAGGTAAGGTCATAAGGTAAGCTGACACTGTCGTTACTTCAGAAAACTTTCACTGTTTTCTTTAAGAAGGAAAAAATAGTTCTTGTGTGATTTTTTTGGGGGGGCATAGAGTGTGTGTAGAGGGTGGCTGGCTGCCTTGATTTGTTGAAACTTGTCTTTGGGTTTATACTTTTGATATAATTATTTATTCTTCTGTGACGCTGAGCTCAACAACCCTCAGCTTGATCTTTTCCAAACAGCAACAAAAACTTTGGTTTAAATATTGTGTTGTAACTGCTGTAGGAGATCGGTGCAGCCCTTCCTGAGAACATCACTCAGTCTGCATAGCATTCCAGGGTTGCATCTGCTTCATTCACTGTTGGTTTCAGAGTACTGTGTTTGTGTTCCTTAATGGGGAATATCAGAGAGGCAAATAAACGACTGAGAAAATAGCTTGCAGTGTTTGGTTGAGCAAGTTGTCTTCAAACTCTAGGTGTCCCTTTGATCAGAAAAAGTATCAGGAATTACTGTTAGAGATACTACTCCATAGCCCTGTATTTTCAGGAAAACTTTAAAATAACCAAACAAACTCTTGGAGAAAAAAAAAAAGAACTGTTTAAAGTTTGTCCAACTACTTGCAAGCTTATGGCACTCTTGCATCCTCTCTGTGCTGCTTACAACTATCTGGGAAGGGCTGTCAGAAAATATCAGCACTTACAAATATGTTCTTTGCTTTCCTTACTGTAAGAATAGTCAGGGCCGATGTTTACGTGAAAAGAATACATTCTAATTACACATAGGCTGCTAAGAACTGGTTAAACAGTATCTCTGTTCAAGAAACAAGTAGATGCGGTGCTTAGGGACATGGTTTAATGGTCACTGTGATGATGGGTTGATGATTGGACTTTGTGATCTTGAAGGTCTTTTCCAACCTTAAGGATTCTATGATTGTGTGTTCCCCCTTGGTTCCATACCAGCACAGGTAGGAAAACTTTTCTCCTGGTAATTAATAATAAATAGTAATTTGAAGATTGTTACACTCACATATAAAACTACTTTGTCTCCATATATCTCATCATCATTTCATAGACACAGAAAGACTTTATTACCTCTATATTTTAACTCTAACAGTGACTAATTGAAAGGAATTATAAATAAGAATTTCTGGTTTGTGACCAAATAACTATTTATGGAGAAAATGTTTGTTTTGTTTTTTTTTTTTTAATAGAATAACTGCTACCCCTTGTTTACTTGACTTGCGGAACACTTCCTGTGTTTTTGAACATCTTTTTGAAATTAAATCGAATTGATATCCCAGGGTGGGTAAGTGATAGGACAAGGGGGAATGGTTTTAAACTGAGACAGGGGAGGTTCTGGTTAAATATTAGGAGGAAGTTTTTCACACAGCGGGTGGTGACGCACTGGAGCAGGTTGCCCGAGGAGGCTGTGGATGCCCCATCCCTGGAGGCATTCAAGGGCAGGCTGGATTGGCTCTGGTCTGGTGGTTGGCAACCCTGCACATAGCAGTGGGGTTGAAACTAGATGATCATTGTGGTCCTTTTCAACCCAGGCCATCCTATGACTCTCTGATGACTCTTTGGCAGTTTTCAGTTCTCTATTCAGTATTAGAGCTATTTAAGTTTTCTATGAATTCGAATGTGGAAGTAAAAGTAATTGTCACCTTCAAGTAGACCTTGCCATGAGATCTGCAGCTTTTTACTTAGTGCACTGGGAATAGTAGATACATGTGTTGTACTGTCGTTTCAAATCTACTCTCTCCTTTAGAATCCAGAGGAGCATTGGCAGAAAAACAAACAACACACCTCTCAGTTAGCTAGCCTGGTAAGAGTTCTGGTCACAGGTGATTGTAGGTGCAATAACTGAATAACTTTTGTACTAAGCTTTTCAGGGAGGAGGCTGGCTTTGCCTTCTGCAAGTTGAATTCAGTAACTCTGATGGTCTTTCCTGTAGCTTTTTGCTTTACGTTGTTGTTGAGAGAGGAAGCTGTTTGCTTTTGTGGATGCCTTTACCTTTCCAGTAGATTATTTGAATCTAAGATTCCTATAGTAATGGCTCTTCTCTGAGGAGGTTTATTTTTAAATCCATAATTGTTCTTGGCCTTAAATGTTTCCAGTGGTTTTTATTATAATGTAGTTTTCCAGTGAAAAAGAAATTGCAAGCAGTGAAGGTTATTGTATCATTAGCAAAGGTCAGCTGATTTTCTCTTAGAGTGCTTTGAATGCTTAGCAAGTAGAAATCACACTGTTCAAATATCTTTAACAGATTTCCTTTTTTTCTTAAAGTAAGTTTAAAATGGAAGTTCAGTGATATTTGATAGATGGATTGAACAGCTTCTGAATACCATAAATATGATGGTAGAACTGAGAACTTACAGGAAATTATTGTTTCAAAATGCACTTACATGCTGTGTGTGCTTGGCTTTTGTTTTTATTTTGTTCTTCATGATATCCAAGAATTTAAGGATGATTATTTCATTTCTCTTCTAATAACTGTTATTCATTAATAGTGCTCCTTTTTTTTTGTTTTATCTTCTTGCAGGTTTTGAAGGTGTTGAAGCTCTGAATACTTGCAGGCTCTCCATACATAGAAATGTCTGGCTCATACGATGATTCTGTTGGAGTAGAAGTTTCTAGTGATAGCTTCTGGGAGGTAACCTAAGCTTTTTATTCACAGTATTTTGATTTTGTATTTTTTCTCTTACTATAGAAAATCTGGTTTTTTTTTGTACATGATAAACCGTGGAGAGAGCTGCAATATAAGATGTCTCTGGTTACTGTGATCTGCAGAAATAGCCTTCAGGGTAAAAATGACTTTTTAGATTTTGGCCCGGTTCTGTCAAGGCTTTTTAAATGGCAGAGACTCGGGGAACATCCGTTCTGATGGGATGTGCAATTCAGAATCTAACCTTTGCAGGTTTTTATTGCTGGGGAGGGGTGGGGAAAGAGCTTTTAAATTACCAATGGAATTGAATGAATAATATTAAATTGAAAGTAACTGGTTAAACACTAGTGTAAGTGTACATAGGTTAAAATTTAAGCTAACATACGAGTTTACTGCATTTGCTGTTTGTGCCTAGTTGTAAGATTTTTTTGAGAGAACTTATGCTTTCTCAGTGTAAGAGCATTCATGCAGAAATGTAATATAAAGCACAATGCAAGATCACACTAACTTCTGCCTTCTCCTCCTTCTAAGTCTGGAGGAGACTTTCACATGTCACAACTTCATAAAAATTTAAAGAGAACAAACTTCGTAAAGCAGAAAGCATGTTACTAAAGGAGTTTTTACAGGAAACAAGTGTTTGACACAGCCAGTACCACAGTGCTGGCTGTGGTGAGTATGCAGTCTAGATGAACTGTATTCAGTGGGGTAAATTTCTACCATGTGACTGGGAACTGAATCTAGCTGTAGTAAATATGAAAGTGGCATGGGGAAAATATCTAAATCGTTCTGTTATCAGAGGTGATGATGTCAGACATCTTGGTTTTGATTATCTACCATTGTGTAGAGAGATTTATTTACTATTATGTGAACAATGACTATTTATTCTATTTTTTATAAAGAATTATCTTAAACATATTGGATTGTCAGTTTTACAAATACTTTTTTTTGTAGTGGCGCTCTGTCGCATGACTGCAGAGAGAATGTGGGATCTCCATACTCTAGAGGTCTCTTTGGAGCTTTCTCCTCTCCAGGCTGAAGAGCCCCAGCTCTCTCAGCCTGTCCCTGTAGGGAAGGTGCTGCAGCCCTCTGATTATCATTGTGGCACTCTGAAGCCATTTTCCACCCAACCTGTATCTGTGCTTGGGATTGCCCTAACCCAGGTACAGGACTTTGTACTTGGCCTGGCTGAACTTCATGAGGTTTGCATGGCCCACCTCTCAGAACTATCCAGGCCCCTTTGGATGGCATCCCTTCCCTTTAGTATGTCAACTGCACCACTCAGCTTGGTGTCATCTGCAAACTTGCTGAGGGTGCACCTGGTCCCACTGTTCATGTCACCTACAAAGATATTAAATCACACCAGTTCCAGCATCAGTCCCTGAGGAATGCCATTAATCACCAATCTCCATTTGGATGTTGAGCCACTGACCACAACTTTATTGAATGTGACCATCCACCAATTCTTTATCCAGCAAGTTATTATAATTGTATGTAGCATCATGTGACAGTGATGATTTTGAATCCTGGCCCTGAACAAGATGCTTGGACTAAAGCAGGACTTAAGGGCAAATGGGAAAGTGCCTAATGTCCTGTCTGCTGCAGTGTAGCCTTGATATAGAATATTTCGAGCAATTTCTTTCACCTGGGAATAGTTTTCTTGTGACCTCCAAAATGTACTTTTGTGCATTTCAGTGTGAGTCATTGCAATACATGCCCCTTACTAGTCTGGACTGTAGTTTGATTTATATGTAGTTCTGAATATTTTCATTAAATGAATAATTAAGATATCCTGCAGATACTTAAGCCAAATTATGTCATGACATGAGGTACTTTTTGACTCTAAGCCTTGCCTTTCTGCAGGACAGCCGGAAAAAACAATAAGGCAAGAATTACTCCTGAGCTCAAGAGTTAATAAGGGGGATGTGTGCCAGGCTTCCACTATCAAGTAGAACATTAACTTGAAGCGAAGGACATCTTGTACCAAGACGTCAACTTTAGAGTAACTCTTCAGTATTAACAATGACATGTAGACACTAATAGCAGGCCTGTCAAACTTAATTACCAAGCTCTTGGTTTGCTGGGTTTGGAGCCATCTTTGCAACCAAAGTTTGTCTGAATTTTAGATTAAAATTTGTCATTTTTCATTATCTTCTGAGTCAGTTATTTTGTTTCTAAAAATTGCAACTTTGAGCTCCAACCTTTGTCTTTCTCAAACTGGAGAAATAAACTGATGTGATCAATGTTTTTCATCTTCATTAGGAAAGATGCAGCATCTCTAGAATCATGACCTCAGTACTTTATGCTTCATAATAAAAATTACAGCATTATTAATCAATTTGTTAGTTGCAGTGTTAATGCAAACTTGTCATTTGCACCCTTTCTATTTCATCAGAAGTTTTTGAGGTGTGGCATGTTTGTTTTTGCTGTTTTTAAAGACAGCCTGTGGTTTGTTGAAAGCCACATTGTTGTGTTTCACTGCCACAACTGAATGCAGTGAATGTATTTAAACCTGGCTGTGGCACAGAAGAGGCAGACATGGGAAGCTTTTGAGTTTGTTGCCACATACTCCAAAATAGCTCAAATTTATTTACTGTTGGAGCGTGCTGTAAAGCACATCTTTTTTGTGAAGGACACTTAGGAAAGAGTGAGGTGGCTGGGTGTGGAATGTACCCTAAGAACTTCCTGTGAGGGCCATGGTTTTGCTCACTGCATATCTTTGAAACTTTTATTTTTTTATTTTTTGAATGTCGTCGTTCTATTGAGCTGATGAAATTGTGCTTATTGAAGTGTTTATAAGCTAGTTAAGTTTTTGCTGTTGCCATTCAGACCTTCATGAAATGTCATCTGACTGTAACTGTTCAGCTTTTTCTTTTGGATTGCAAGAACAGATGATGCAGCTTGAAAAATTAGGCTTTCAGAAATACCTTTCTGTACCATAAGTTGGAAATAGAAGCTTTCACAGGTAAATTGAGGAAAGTTTTTCATTGTTTAGTTAAACTTTTAGTATTGGTTTGCATTTTAGTCTCCTAGTGGAAGAAGAAATCCATTCCAGGAGACCACATCTGTCCCTCCACCTCCCGCCCCTCCCAAAATTCTTCCAGATGTTCAGCAAATAAGAATATTTTAGGAGATGGAAAAATCGATGCATGTTTTCATCTACGCTTGGTTAGAGAGCAAGGAATTGCAAAGTATTAAGGAAAGACATTCTGAGAGATAAGAGATAATTGCTACAGGAGGGTTTCATCAAACTTCAGTTGTAGTAATGCCCTGCATTACTTAAGAAATGGAAACCTCTTTTTCATTCTGACAAGTTTCAGTATACCTTGATAGATTTGGCTGAACTCATGGTGTTTACTGGATGCAGAAATTTTAACACAGAGGAATCTGGTTGATATGTTCCAAGAAGAAATTCCTCATTGGTATTACTTAGCTGACAGGGATAATGTGTTCTGGAAGCTACTGATTATGGCCTGGAGCGGGATGGTAACAACTTTTCCAAGGGAAAGTGGGAAATTTGGTGCCCAGTGTTCACCTGGAAACCTTCTGGATTTTTTCCATCTGCTGTACTGAACAACAAAAAAAAACTTGTCTTGTTCCAATATTCTGTGAAATTATTTTAAAATACAAGAAACAGACAACCCTTTTGGCCTTCAATACGGTGGTAGTATTGAATTCCACGTGAAATAATTTGGTATTTTAAAACTGGCCTTCTGTTAATTATGATGATGCATTTGTTAATAAGTCCCAGCTTTATGCTTGCTAATCACTGCTGTGGTCATATTAAAAATGCCTTGAGCAAGCTGAGACAAATGCTATTGTTCACTTAGATACCTGTGAAGGTAAGAAAGATGATGATTAGGCGTTGGTAGAGATCAAAGTAAAAGTATATGCATGTTTTGCAAGGTAAGGCATTGAAAGAAACAGCTACAGCCTGTAGAAACGCTTATTTTTATGATCCACAGATTATTCATTGATGATGCCACCTATACCTTAGATATGACTCCTTATTCTCCCTTATTCTCTGCTGCATGGGAACCTCCCCATGTATTGTGGAGTTGTTCATCAGTACTGTAAAAATACCTACTAATCCAAGCAAAAATAGTTCTTCTGATCAGCTGCTAAACGGTGACTGGCATTAGGTCTATAAACTCAGGCCTGTGATCTACTCTTTTCAAGCCAAGAACTTGTAATGCATTTTGAGGTACTAGGTATGTTGCATTCTAAAGAGAGAGAACCACTAGCAAAGAAACGTTTTCCACTGATTCAGAAAGGAGAATTTGGTCCTCTTTGTACTGTGGTTGGATCAAATCAGGCCACAGCATGCGTTTTCATTACACCACTTCCCCACAAAAACACAGAAAAAAACAACAATGAAACAAACAAAAATCAGCCCCAGACACTCTGGATAGCAGAGACAGCCAATCTGGGACATGCCTCTGACAAACTGCATTACAAACTCTGTGTGGCAGTGGTCATGGGCCTGCCAGTTTGGGTACTGATCGTGTCTGTGCTTCGTGCCTGCTGCTGTCAGCCAGCATCTAAGTGAGTTATCTTCTCAGGCTGTTGGATGAGTTTAAGAAGAATTTAACTCACTATTGAATGTTTAAAGAAAGTGTTTTGAAGTTGAGGGTTTTCAATTCCTTGTTAGTGAGTGCTGCTTCTGTTGATGAAGCCAGTTGTTCTATTTCGCTCTTCCATTTTAGAAATATTTGGACTCTACATCAGTAGATTGCTGTTATATCTCCTGCATGCAGTTTTTTTCTTCTAGCTTTGAGCAGCGTAATGCTTTCCATTTATATTGCCAGGTATTTGCTTACTGGTGTGTTTGGCTTTAGCTTTTGTGAGCCTAAGAGCTTCCTCAGGATTTTTCTTGAATCCAGAGGCTAATTTATGTTAGTAAATTTACCAGTGTAAAACTTAAATATACAGAGATAGTGCTGTGAGATGCTTGTGCTGTGTGTGTGTTAATTTATGGACTAAAATAGTTC